ATGTGAAATGTTCCATTAGAAAAATTTCTAAACTAGATTATCAGTTATTACTAACCAAAAAGTTATAAATAATCCATGAAACATTATAATAAATTATGTTAAAGTTTATAAATGTATGCTAAACATTTATCACACACATTATATTTCTGTTACTCATAATGTTAGACTGTAATGTTAATTAGAATAAATATATTCTGCGCAGATATAAACTATGAAAAAAAAATAACATTTCACAGTCAACAGGTAAGGATATATAAAGCATGAAAAACAATGATAATATAAAAAGATTATTATAAATCTCCTCTCAATTTTTCAAAACGTGCTGAGTCTTATTCTTTTTTTTCATGTAGTATGATTTTTTAATGATTAAGACATAAAATCAGTCACAAATATTTATACCATTAGTTAAAATATGTAATTTTATTTCCTGAAATCTACAGTTTTTTAATAATTTAAAGTACTATCAAAATTATTACATTTTGAATTTAAAATTAATAAAAAAGAAACTTATTGACACTTTAGATTCTACTTAGTCTATAGCAGCAAAATAACTTGGATCCTCATTGGATCATTATTCATTAATCTTGACTTGAGCAAATTATGAGCCAGGGGCCGAAAATTTTTGGTAGGATAACGACGAACAAAAAACCACACAAATACAAGAATATAGGTAACTTGGCATTGAACTAGACTCCATTATTTTTCAAACAATAAATTATATGAAGCTAATACTTTTTTTAATGTTAAAACAAAAAATTTGCTTTACTTATTTGAAGCAAAAATTTAAAAAAATTGTTTGGAATATAACAAAGGTATAAATAACGTTTGGAACCTGATGGCAAATTTCACTTACCTTTACACGAAAATTTTAACTGATTTTAAGTACATTTAGTGTAATGAAAAAAAATATATGTGCTGATTTTCTTTTTTTAAATTTATTACAAATGTTTCTGTATATGTAATCATCCAAATGTAATCATATTCCAAATGTAATCATCTCTTTAGGACCTTAGAAATGTTAAACACTTACAACAAACTTCGCTTCATCAATGCATTACATCATCAATGCATTTGCAATTTGTTTTTATTTGTATATTATGTTTTTGTGAATAATTTCATACATAAAAATACATACATTTCTTTAATATATTTAGAAAATAAGTCATGATACATATATAAACTCACATTAACTTTGTACCGATAATAAAAAAGATTGAAACTTGTTATAAATCTTGATTTATTCTTTTTATTACTTAAACATACTTTGCCATTCAATACTTTGGAAAGTAATATCATTATTGTATAAAAGAATAAAAAACTTATTTTAAAGGGAAAAAAAATTTCGTCATACAATACAATACTGAAATTAAAAAAAAATTGCATTGGAAAACAATTTTTTATAATAAAATAGAAATAAATTTAACTTATATAAAAAACAATGAAAAATTTTAAAATAATAAGAATAAAGGAAATTGAATGGTATAATAATGCCGGTTATATTTTGCCAATTAAATGCTATTTTAATTTGGATTTTTCAATTTTTTAGATAACAAGGTACTGGAGGTGGCATTACAGTTAAATTACAAAAAGTCTAACTAGAAAGAAACTTAAATAGATCTGGGTCTGTACTGAAAAGCTGTGCAAATTTGCGTAGTTTTAAATTTCAAAACTGTATATCGGTACATTTCTATATTGTTAATTGTATATAAAGTAAAATGCACAATAATTTTATAAACAGAATGAATCCGTTGATAATGAAGTCGGATAAAAGATAGCTTAAAATTTTACACTTAACAAATTGCATATTTTTAGATATTTGTCTATATGCAATTTCATCAAAACATAACACGATGAATGAAAACTACATTTTGATAAGAGTATAAAATGACAAAATGAAAAAGTATTTGCTAGATAATTCTACTTAAAGCTAGATTTTTTCTAAAAAACAAATTAAAAATTATTTCTAAATCACTTGATATGTTAATGTAATAAAATTAAAACTATCTTAAATATGTAACTGTGCAGTTGTATAAGAAGAAGGAGGTTTAGATACGTGAAACAAGTTTGAACTGAAAATAAATAATTGTGCCGTTTTGCATTATAAAGACATTTCATGCATTAATAGCAAAACAAATACAAAATCTCTAAACGGGACTTTCATTTTTCAAACCCTTGTTGCACCCTTGTATTCTTTACTCCTTTTTATTCTTTTTTTTGCTTGTTTTTGAATAATAAAACCTCTGATATTACTTTATTGAGCATGTAACGAGTTTGTAGTTAGAGCGTTTTTAGTCATTTTTGATTCTGTCATAGATATTATATCAAGATTATTCTGAAGAATAAATTACGCAAAGGTAAATAGAGAAAAATTGCAATGATAACGAATAAGATGTTTTATTGGCTTATGAGTGAGAGTGAGAGATAAAATTGTTAAATATAGCTAAATATTCATAAAGGTTTAAATTATAGTGTAAATCATATATCGCAACTCATGTCAAACATTTGTGGATATTAAAACTATGATTTCATAAATTGGACCTAAGTTGGATATTTTTTTAATTCAATTTTGATCTTAATAATATTTTGTTACAATTATTAATACAACTTATCACTGGAAGCATCAATTCATTTATCTATTTGGAATTTTTCAATATGCCATAAATGAATTGAAACAATTTGCGATATTTCATGGCAAAAATTAAATATTACTTATTTAATAAATGTGTACAAAATCATTGGCTTTTTTTTGGATTATCTTTCCTGATTCGACTATTTAGTCTTTGAAATTGAGTATTAGAACTTTAAATAATTATTGTTGAAAAATAAAATGAACCAGAAATTAGAAAAGTCTTCATTAAAGCTTAGAATATGTATTGAAATAATATGAAGTAAAAATATATGCAAACCGGTACGAAAATATAGATTTAAAATATGGAATTATTTAAGGCAATCAATTATTTACAATCAGTGGTGTATATTGTTCCAGTTGATACAGTGGAATTAGGTTATCAAAGAACAAGAAATGGATGTTAAGATGATAACAGCATCTGTTTTTATTTATTTTAAATATCCTATTTACAAGGCATTTGAAAACTTATTAAGTCTATACAATGCCCTTACGCAGGAAAATGAAGCATTTACGTAATAGTTTTATTATTTGTTAATGACCTTGTTAATATCCAAAAATGTTACTGATTAATATTTTCTTTATTATCTATTTGCAGTTGTATATAGCCAATACTAGAACTTTCATGGATTTTATTTTTAGTTTCTAAAATAATGTTATGCAAATATTGTAATCTTGGGGTTATGATTTTAGGAGATACTGCTTATTGAAATAACTTTTGATCAGATGATTACTAACCTCCATTTTGTTCAAATCTTTCAGATTGTTTTGATGATTAAAAAAATAAATTTTAAGTATTTATAGTTAAAAATTTAGGAATTGAAAGTCGAATAGGAAATTTATGCTTTTTTGATTTCAACTACAGCTTTGTTGATAATTTCAAAAAGGGAGCAAAGAAGATAAAAAAAGAATGTTAAATATAATAATAATAATAACAGCACTGAAGATAGAAAATTTGAGTCGAAACATTTCTTCAAATTCTACAGAAATTTTAAGCCTTTTAAAAGTAAATTAAGGAAAAATTTCTATTAACAACTAATTTTACCTGATTTAGTCTGAAACACATAAAATATTTCAATTTATTGCTAGTTTGGTGAGCATTCATGCTCTCTGATAGATATTAGATGCCATGAAATATTTGAGTTGTTTTTCATATTTTAACTCCAATTTTTATTGAATTTTAAAAAAAAATTATCAGATAATTCAAAATACCCATTTTTGTTTTGTTTCACATTTAATAGGATTGTTTTATATGTTGCACAAAATATGATAATATAATTTGATTAATATTTTTCTATATTAATCAAAATATTATTAATTATGAATATTATTGATTATAATATTATTAAATATGAATATTATTGATTATAATATTATTAATGATCATATATTTTGATTAATACTTTCTGAAAACACCAAATATGTTGCAGGCTAAATCGCTGAAAGTTGACAAATAATAAAAAATACTCCATTGAGCATTTAAATTCCTGTCAAAACATTTACTAGTATAGTACAACAGAAGATTGTAAACTTTTCAGATTCTATTTTTTCTGCGCTAACAATGGATTTTCAAATTTAATTTTTGTAGATTTATAGGTTTTTTTCGATTTTTTTTGTTTCATTGTATTCCTATTGCAGAAACTTAAGAGAAGGAAATTCTTCTTGAATTTTTCCTTTGAATTCCTTGTAATTTATTTGAATTACAATACTTCGTCTTCAATTTATCAAGGTAATAATAAAACTTGTACCACATTGTTGCAGAATAAAATAGATCTACTTTCTCACTGCAATTTAAGAGCTGAAAAGAAAATGCTAAGCTAATTTTTAAATTATCCAAATTTTAAATACAAAAATATGGAAGGGGAAACTATATTTATACAGCTCTATTTTTTCTGCCAAGTCTTCAAATAAGACGATTCTTAAAGACTGAGAAATGTTTTGTAAGTGCCTCATTTCTTATTTCTCAAAAGCTGATATTTCTTAATTCACTGAAATGTTCCTTAACCTTATTCACTCTGATTTTTCAACTGTAGGATCCCATTATGTATTAAACTAGTGCTTTGAGTATTTAAATATATGTATTGACTTAGATATTATCTATATAAATTTAGTTTTCAATTTTGAAAAAAGAAAATTTTGTTTAGTTTCTAGAGAAAAAATAATCATTTAAAATTGTTCATATATTCCTGTGGTATTTAAAATAAAGTGCTTAATAATTTAAAAATTCAACTAAGAATTATGGTTTCCCTCCCTTTTCTAGAAACAAATACATATTTATATTTGAAATTTATCAATAGCATATATATACATACATATCAAGAAAATATTTATAAAATGCATATCATAACTTTTATTTCTTATAAAAAAGGCTTACGTTCACTTTTTGCTCTAAATATCGATTCTGATTATCACCTGAAAAAAACAAAAACAGAAAATGAGCTAAAATGTTTTTTAAGTTACTTAAAATTTATCATTTTTAACAAATAGCACAACTATATAAATTCAAAATTAAATAGTGTAAACTTGAAACTAAAATTTTAAATAGTAATATGAGTGTTATTAAAAACTATAAACTTCGTTTCATAGTTTCGATATTTTAAGATTAGAAATGAAAAAGAAATCAGCCAAGAATACGATTTGAAACAATGAACCTCACATTGGTTGCGTTTGGATTAAGCAGCAAATCCGAATACAACACCAATAATTTCCACTAATAATATGCCACTAATGAAATATTCAGGTGAAAAAATGTTCAATCGGTATTTTTAGATAGATATTTTATTTTCTTATTACACGAAAAAATATGTATGGTTACTTTACATAGATAAAAATGATGAATGTAAAATATTATAAGCAAATTGTTAAGTTGTTTTGCATTTTAAGTAATAAATGATTTGCTAAAAATATAAAGATAGTTACACAAAAATATAAATATAATATTATGCAATAATATAACTTTTATAATATTTCTTAAGTAGTTGTCTAGAAATACAGAGAAAGTCATTACATTTGTAAAAACAAACAAAAAAAAATATTTACACTTGATGGTAAATATGTATAAATGTGATAAATATTTTATTATAATTTTGAAACGAAAGAAGTAAATACACATTAATAAAAATAAAGTATGCTATTAATTGTTAAAACTTTATAATATTTATTAAGTTATTGCCTACAAATACATGGACAGTCAGTGGCATTTGCACAAACAAACAGAAGAAAAATCTTTACACTTGATAATAAATAAAAAATATAATATTTATGATATGTGATAAATATTTTCTTAAAATGTTTATAAAAATTTAAAAAATAAACTTAAAGAGATATCTAAATTTTTCTATAATAAGTACACATTAATGTAAGTAAAATTCAAAACTATCTCTAGTAATTTTATAATATTTTTTAAGTAATTACTGAGGAATACAGGAAAAGTCATTACATTTGCATAAAAGAAAAAAAAATTCCTTACACTCGTCAACTGCATAATTTTATTGAACTTGTCAAGATTTTTGAGAATGAAAAAAAAGGAAAGAAAGCTTTACTCTTTATAACAAGAAAAAATATTTAATCTTAACACTCATTCCAGATGGCACTGTAAGGTTGATTTTAATGTAGCAGCAACCTGTATCTTACTTCAGCAAGGCTTATACATGAATAGAAAATAAACGATACAAGCTTGACTCAATGTTAAATTTAAATATACTAATTTATGCGCAATTTGCTTGTTTGCATTAAGCTTGCATGAACAGCCCTTTGATATCAAGATTGAATCTAAAATTATGACACATCATCCCTAAAAAATGTTGCGTTGGAGAACCTTAACTTATAAAGGAAAAAAAAAATTCGAAAANGCCCTCAATCAATAAATACTTACGTTTTTATTTACACATCCTGTACATATCTTGTTTTTTTGCGAAGTTTACACCTCGAAAAAAGAGTTTATACACTTTTCTAATTAAATTAATAAACCAGGAATTTTAAAAACTAATGTATCAAAAAACATTAATTTTCTCAATTGTTGTGTTTTGGACTTAACCGCATTATCTTCTGAGCGACTCAATTATTAACCAGTCATCCTTATCGTGTGAATCAAAAGAACAGCAAATACAACGTTTGCCGTAAGGTTGGGGACTGTCTGGGATAGCTATATTGATATATTTTTCCAGTATTTAAGCCCAAGTATTTGTTTTGAGCTTTATAATCATTAAAAACTGACGAACATATAAATTTTTTAAAGTACGAGTTGGATTTCTCGACCTAAAACCGAAGAGAACCCAGCATAAAATAAAGTTTTTACGATTTTACAAACCCTACTTTTTGTTGCTCCATATAAAATCGTATGAATTTGGCGATATTGTCGATGAAATATTCAGGCTTGGCGACAAGTGATACTCCGTTTTAAACACGGCAACCTCCTGATAGAAACTGTCATAAATTATGATAGGGAGAGATGGGATGAGGTGAAGAGGAGGAGAGGATGTAGAATGCATTAGGCTTGCTGTAAAAAGAAAATGATCTAATTTACCTCCTCTTTTTCACGTCGCCTCTTCCCTATTTACATTTTTGTTTCACCTTTATATCTCACATTTTCTTAAAAAAGAATGTCTCTTACAATGTGTTCATAATTTGACTGACTTTTTTTATAGCAAAATCAGGTAAGACTTGTTAGTACTACAGGGATGTTACATTAATTTCTGTCGGTCACAAAACACATTTTATCTCTCAGTTTTTATGACGGAAATTGAACGCAAATGGTTTTGAAAAACGCTTCAAGATTATTACAATTATATTTCTGAATTAAATTGCTTCGATAAACTAAAAAAAAAATTTAAAAAAACAATGAAATTAAAAAAAAAATTTTTCAACTTACCAAAAATTTCAAGGTATAAAATAATTTATTGTTCATTATCAAAAATTTAAAATGCCTGTAAAAATTTATGTCTAATTCTAATAACCAAATCATTATATTTCCCTTCAATATTATTAGATATTTCTAAAATAACAATAAATAAATTCTCGATAAACACCAGATTTAACTTTAATTTTCATTTAATATCTATTTAAAACAGATCTATTAATTTGAGGAGAATTAACTGAATTAGCCCAATAAAACTGATATTTTTTAAGTTGATGCATTTACGGGATGCAGTGAAAATTAAAAGTTTTCAAAATAATGTTAGCAAACACAAGTAAAACTAGATAAGTGATAGATAAGTAAAAATAATACAAATAAAAATAGAGTCAATCCTTTACACTAACTATATACCGCGAATATTATTATTATTACATAGTCTGTGTAGTTTCATAGTCAATTAAATTAATTTGTTACTATATTGCAACAATTTGATTATATTATCAATAAAACTGTGCAGGTTATTTATTCATGTATCAATCAGCTTTTATTTCATCTTTTTTTTTATTGATCAGATTAAAAATAAATAAAAAATATTATAAATAAATGTTTTTCCTTCTTTTTTTTTTATAAAAAAAGGAAACAGAAAAAAACAGAGGGGTGAAAAAATTTCTTTTCGAATATAGAAGTGGAATTTTTGACAAAGGATGAAAAAACTCTTCTATTAGTGTATATATACAGAGATATTTTTCAGGCATTTTTATGGAGAATAAATTTAAGAAACAGGTAAGTAATACATATAATGGTGTTAAGAAACACATAATGATAACAATAATTTATTACGCATTGAATCCATTAAAACTGTACACTTTTAATTATAAATATATGATTTACATTTTTTAAATCTTTTGGCTAAGAATTTTATAATTTATTATAGAAGCTTGAAATTTAAAAATTATAAACAATAAAACCTCACGAAATTAAGAAACACACAAAAACTATATTTGAATACTTTAAATATTAAGGAGTAATATTAAATTAAAAAAAAAATAGTAAAATGAAATGAAAACCTCAACAGTAAATAGCTTTAAAAATTTTCATATGAAGTTTTGAAGAGTTCTTGATTGAAATTTTAGGGAACTAATATCTTATTTATATGATAAATATGTTGAACGAATCGTTCAACATATTTATCATATAACGTTCATAATTTATCATAAACGTTCATTTTGACGAATTTATTTATAAGGAAAAAATAACAAAATAAATTATATTTGACTAATTAATTTCACACGGATGCTATAAAAGCTTTGACATGATACACCTTCCCATTGACGAAAAAAATATCAGAAGTATCCTAGTTCTAATTAACATCACTAAATTCAAAGAGAATCCTAATCTCAAAATCTTAACTCATTACTTAATCAGGTTCGTAACACTCTATCAGTGTATATAAACAATGGATAATAAAATATTCAAATAGTTATAATCCAAGAATAATCATCAGTGAAATTAAGTAGCTATGAAATTAAAGTATGTATCACATTTAATTACATATTTAGGTTGAGAATTATTTTAATGCTGAGAGAATTTTCAATAACTTAGTTTTTACAATACATAATATTCATAAATGCATAGAATAAAGAAGCTACAATTTTGTATTTAAATAAAAAAAAAATATTAATTAAAAAATCTTTTTTTTTCTGCGTTTTGAAAATTTCTGAAAATGTTAATATTAAAATTTATCTACATTAAGTTCAATTAAGATTCAAAAGACAATAACATCAATTAAAGATAATTTTAATTTATATTGCATAAAATTGTTTAAGATTTTTTCCATCTAAATATGTAGGTCAATATTTACTAGTTTTTGAAATTATTCAAAATATATATGCATGAGTTTATTTTCGTTGATTTATGATATACATCATGCAAAACATTTATTTAATTCAAAATACTTTTTACAGCTCCTTTTGAGATTTTCTTAAAGATATTTTCACCAAAAAATATATACGATTTTCTCTTGTGTGAAAGTAGAAGTCAGTTTTAAAGAACATCAGACATAACCACTATTGAACAAGAAATATTCTTGTATATTTACAATTGATATTAAGAATCTTTTCGATACATTTTCACCCAAAAATATATACTATTTTCCCACGGATAAGAGAAGAAAAGAAAAAGATTCAAACGGGAAGTCTATCTTTTTCTCCAGACTCGCTGTTCAAAATTGAAAGCCGCGAATTGAACCTAGAATTGCAATTCCTAGCCACCCCCTCTCCCACAATATTAGATGAGGACTTTTAAACTAGAACCTGATAAAAAGAATCAGGGGGAAGGGGAGTTTCATTTGGAATCCAAATCTCATCTTTTTCTGCAAAAAGAAATACAGTAAAAGGCTAGAATATATGCACGACTTTTCTCAGATTACGTGGTCTTCCTGTTGCCTAGCAACTTGAACGTGCTTTCCTTGGTAACGGTTTCTAAGTTCACTTTGACAGCAGCACGTGCGATGGCTTTGGAATAGATAAGTTACCCTCAGGTGGGATTAGAACTCCCT